ATTTATATATGTTTATCTGATTTCATCTACTTCTCTGGCTTCTTCATCGGCTTTGTTCGTTCTGAAAATTGGCCGGTATAAAATCAATTGCTTTTCTTATTAAAAGAAAGGTTTTTTATGATTCAAAGTTGTAATTTTTTTGTCAGAGTGAGACAAGGATTTGAACCTTGTATATCCCCGTTCTTCTTGCCCACGAAATTTGTTCTAGAACAATGAATTTGATACCAATGCATTTTTAGGCTGTATAAAGTCAAAGCTGAGTGAAAAAGTGGAGTTTCAAGACATTAGCGAGATGGAAATTTGATTGGCTTTATTAAAAAGCAATCATGGTACTATGAGGAGACGAGTTCCAGGAGTAAGTTTTGGCTTACATAAGAGCTTGCAAATCAATCATAAACAGTTTAACATTAATGAAAATGAAACCCATGGCAATAATCTCAAGTATTGTTGGGCTACAATGTGGAGCCGAAGCAATTCTAGAACCAAGCAGCAGGTAGGTTTGCTCATTGGCGCCAGCCATAGGTGTGTGGTGGGCGCCTATGCGCCAGCTATTTGGGCGCCTAAGCACCCATTGTGGGTGCTCGGCAGAGGAGCAGGCGCCTATGCACCAGCTTTGGGCGCTTATGTGCCCGATTTAGACGAGGGACTGGTCTTCTTTCCTTAGAGATCAGCATTTTTGCCCCAGAAGCAGCTAATTTGGGATTTTCGGTTTTAAGTCAATTTTCAAGCATGGAACATAGGTTGCTTGTTGAGTCTTCCTTTGATATTCTTCGACAACTTTCTAGAATAGGAGAGAAGAGTCGAGAAAGAAGATTTTTGGGATCTGAGAGTGTGTTGTTCACGTCGGATTGAAGAAGAAAGGTTGTATAGAGTCCTGTAAATTTCCTTATGTGAGTGTGAAGAAGAAACTTTTGAGTCATTTGTAAAAATTTCAGAATTACATAATGTAGTTTGTGATGGTGTGACTCCGTGGTTTTTTTCTGTTCTCGGGTTTTTTTACATAAAAATGTGACTCCGTGGTTTTTTCCTGTTCTCGGGTTTTTTTACATAAAATCTTTGTGTGCTTTTTTGGTTGTTTTAATTGTGTTTTCTATATTTATTTGTTCTGATTTTCTTGAATCATGTGATCCTGTTCCGCGGTGACGTTGAGAATTATTTGGAGGATTTCCAAGTGGTAAAATTGATTTGGCTTTTGATAAATAAAATTGAATTAAAATAATCAAAAAACTAAAAACTAGAGCCAGCTATAGGTTTTTCATCAATACTGCAATGTCTGCTTATCCACTGCTCACAAATTTTGAGTTAAATTGAATGGACCTGAACATTTGATCTCTCGTCTCAGCTTTGTTCAGGTAAAACGACATAAGGGCAAACTTAGTTCTTGTACATCCAAATACCCATCTTCTTACTTGATTAAGGATACACCCATAATAATGAGAAAGAGAATAAGTTAATCGGGAAGCAAAAAAAGCGCTCAGTACAAGCTTTCATTAAAATACAGCAAACCTAATTAAATGGCAGAAAATCATTAAAAATAAACAGTAAAATATGGGAATAGATTGACACAAGTTCAAATTTATTTCACAGCAAGGAGAATCAGCTTAAGAGTTATGACGAAAGATTCTGCATGAAGTTTGACATAGTGAAAAAGGGTTAGAAACAGCCCGCTCTATACATTTTTAGCAGAAATCTCCAATTTAAAATAGTTTTAGTATTAAAAACTAATAAAAACAAAAGGTCCCTCTCTTCCAACTTAGCAGATAATAAGAAAAGAACATGCATGCAAGCTCTACAAGTTATATCTCTTAGCCTATCATCCTACAAACGGGAAATGTAGGTATTCCCTTGCAAGTTTATGGTTCTATAAAAGTTTCATGAAGACTTAATTATAAGCCTGCAAAATTACATACAGAATTATATTCACCAACAACTTGCATCCCATATGTAAGTTTACTTCACAACATAAGATCTCTGGCTGATCATCAGTGTTCATTTCCAGCTTTATTTAGTTTTGATTGCACGGGAATACAAATATCTTTCTGTACTTTTTTTTTGAACTTTGTATTGTGTTAGGGTTTACAGGATTCACTAAAACAAAAAGAAAATGCTTGTAAGTGGAACATAATGATTATATCAACGTGAAATATCAAACCGGATAACCTTAATCCAGTGTTGGAATGGAAAAGCTTTTAGGAAATGACAAAGGCTAAAAAAACAACTTATGGAAGAAGCTTCACTCTTATTTATCACTTTAACTTTGCTTGATACAACTCAAAGAACTTGCTTGATACAATCTCAAAGACTTCACCCCTATTTATACTAGTGACATCTCCTAAATTAATGGCTAGGATTGTGCCACCATAATTACAATTCAATGGTTACAAATAATTACACACCTACCACACAATAATTCAACATCTACCACACATACTACACAATAATTTCATACCTACCACATATTCTAGAATAAGCTTATAGAAATAAAGTTTTATTTAAACAACTAAAACCAAGTTTATATTTCAACACCCCCTCTTAAACTTGATTTTGTGACTCCAAACAAACTTCTCATTTTAATAAAGTCTTCACTCTTCAGTGGCTTGGTAAAAATATCTGCAACTTGGTCTTGAGACTTCACGTACTGAACTTGTATCTCCCTTCTTTCGATGCATTCTCTGATGTAGTGATAACACATATCAATATGCTTACTTCTATTGTGGAAAACGGGATTCTTTGCTAGCGCGATTGCAGACTTGTTATCAATACAAATCTTAATTGTCTCTTTTTGTGGTAAACTTATCTCCTTTAATAAGTTTTGAAGCCAAATTGCATGACAAACACATGAGGTTGCAGCCACGTACTCTGCTTCGCAAGTAGAAAGAGTGATAATTGGTTGTTTCTTTGACATGCAAGTGAAAAGCAGTGTCTCCTATGAAGAACACGAACCCTGTAGTGCTCTTTCTATCATCCATGTCTCCAGCCCAATCACTGTCGCTATATCCTACAAGCTTGAAATTGTTGGATGATGAGTAAAATAAGCCAAAATCAATTGTACCTTTGACATAGCGCATAATTGTTTTAGTAGTCTTCAGGTGGGTAACAGTCGGAGTCTCCATGTAGCGACTGACAAGTCCAACAACATAAAGAATATCAGGTCTTGTGCATGTTAAGTAGCGCAAACTTCCAACCAAACTCTTGAAAAACGTTGGATCAATTCTTTTTCCCTCATCAAACTGTGATAGTTTGTAAAGACCATGCTCATACGGACACTTCATGAAGCCTTTTTCTTACAGATACTTGTCTATTCGGCTATTACATGCTCTTGGTGCTTGCTTTAGCCCGTATAGAGCCTTTTTAAGCTTTAGAATTCTGTCTTCTTGCCTTTTGGCTTCATATCCTGGTGGTTGCTTAATGTAGACTTTTTCTTCAAGTATTCCATTCAAGAAGGCAGATTTTACATCCATTTGATGTATTCTCCACTTATTTTGAGCTGCCAAAGAGATGATTAGTCTAATAGTTTCTAATCGAGCAACAGGGGCAAATACCTCATCATAGTCGATGTCTGCTCTTTGACTATAGCCTTTTGCCACCAATCTTGCCTTGTATCTTTCAACATCTCCTTTGGAATTCTTCTTCGCTTTGTACACCCACTTTACATCAATTGCCTTATGCTCTTTAGGAAGTGAAGCTAGCTCCCATGTGTCGTTCTTCTCGATTGCCTTGATTTTTTCATTCATTCCATCTTTCCACTTCTAGATTTGTATGGCCTCTTGGAAGTCCATGGGTTCACAGTCGGCAAAGAGACAAAAAAGAGTAAGATTATCTTGATTCATAGTTACCTCATAAAGATCTTCTAATCTCCTGAAGCGTGGTACTCTTTCACTTGAATTTTCTTGTGAAGTTGATGACGATGAGTTGCTTTGATTACTTGTTGTTTGTGGAGT